TCTGCAGCAAAACCAGCACGCCCTCTTAGCTATTAAAATGGCTCCTTCCCAGCCTGCGCCTTGGCTGAATGAAGCCGAAATAGCCACGAGCGGTCCCCAGCCGGGCACGTCCCAGCAGAGCCCGGCGCGGAGGGGTTACCTGAGGGGCTCTCCTGGTCGGGCTCGCAGAAATTACTTTGTCAGGGAAGAACGCCAGCCGTTGTCCGTGTCGTCCCTTCCCCGGGCCTCGCCGCCGTGCCGGGAAGCGCTCAGCGCCGCTTTCTGAGGAGAACCCTGAAAAATTTTGAGGCACGACCTGGGTAAGAGACTGTTTTCGGGGTGGGGGGAAACCGGTGAAAGCCAGGTGGGGGCAGGTCGGGTTCAGTGAACGTTTGCACCACCCTCGTTTCCCCCCCCCCCCCCAACAAAAAAATTACAGCCGGTTCATAAACCAGCTTGCAACCGCCCAGCCAACGTGGTTTTGGACCCCGGTGTGCATCCTCCATCACGTTTAAAAGCTACGGGGAGAGTCCAGGTTGCTTTTAGAGGGGACGGACTCGGCGTCCGCACGGGGCAGATTCATCCCACCCGAAGGAAAACGAATCCTACCGAAAATAAAGCACTGGATTAGTCCGGGGGGGGCTAGAGCAGGTCTCCAAATCCTAGAGCCTGCAGCAAAAGCACTGTGAAGTCCTGGGAAAAGAGAGGGGTGATTCTCCCCCCAAAGCGGGTTTTGGCCGTAATTAAGAGCTGGCTGCTTACCCCGTACGCTGAGCACCACTAGCAGCACCAGCAGGATAAAATACCCCAGGCATCCGACTTTCAGAATGACCCGGTGCCACCGCGGGCACAAGGTTTGAGCCGGAAGAGTCCCTATTTGCTTTAAAAACCCGTGCTTTTGCACGAGAAAAGTTGCAAAAAGGAAGAAAAAAGAAAAAAAAAAAATCACAACCGACCCTCTGTCAAGCGAGCAAGTTTGAGCAGAAGTTTACAGACGTCTGCTCTGCTTCCTCCCAAAAAAATCACCGCCTTGTGGGCCGCAGAGGCTCTCTTCCACCCCAGAAACTCCCTTGCCCGAAGCTCTGGTTTTGTGTAGGTTACCAGGGTCCAAAACGCTTTCAGCGACGGAGCACTTGGCTCACGTTGGGGACGAGTGTGGCCAATAACTCAGGTTTCTCTTTTGGCTTCAAATCCGAAGCAAAAAAGCTCCATAAACTCTTGGGTGAGGACAGGGGGGAAAAAAAAATCAGTGTGCGGCCATTAACGGGCTGCAATTTCCCAGCTCGTCCCGGAGGCTCCGCAGCGGCGCGTTGCTTTGAACCGTAGCCGGAGGTCCTCGGTGCGGGATGGGAGACGGCGGCTGCAAGAGGGTCGCTGCAGCTCAAATTTGTGGTCTTTGCTCTTGTTTGAGGTTGGATTCGCCCCTTCAATCTGCAGGTTTGCATCGAGTTGGATAAATAAGTGAGGAAATAAGTGAGAGCGCTTTTCTTCCCAAATTGCCTTCTACAGGCCACTTGTGATTTATTATTATTTTTAACGACTTCTATCGTGCCAGAGCTTGCCTTCACGCCAGCATCTTCCCAAGCGCCCCGGATCTGCCCTTCCTCCGGATTCGGCATGGTTCGGCGGGTGTGGGGAGCCACCAGCCGTCACCAGGCCGCACGGACCCTTTTTCTGCCTCACCCTAGGTGGCACGAACCCGATTTTCACAGGGTTTCCTGTCCCAGCCGAGAGCGGCTATGCCACGGGCAAAAGAAAAAAAAAAGCTAGAAACCTTCCCCAATCTCTGGCAAAAGCCACGCACGCCGCCCGGCCAGCAGCAGGAGACGGAGCAATAAGGAGGAAACCCGCGGGAAACCCACAGGAAAGGCGCTACCTTGTGATGCATTTTTTTTTTTCCTTCTTTCCAGCCTTGCTTGCCTCATGGAAAGCTTCTCGTGCGGATTTTTCTCTGCGGTGAGCGGGCGCTGCCGGGTCCACGGTTGTTTCTGCGCTTCCTTCTCCCAGCGGGCCTCTCTCCGACCACCTGCAGACCACAGGGTTTGGTCTCCATCCTGCCGGCTGCAAAACAAAACCAACCCGGTGAGCGGCGGCGGGGGAGGGAGAAAACTGTGGTGTTCCCAGGGCCTGGGATATGAGGTGGGAAGGCAGCTGTAGAGTGCTGGTGGACAACAAGGTGGCCATGAGGCAGCAGTGTGCCCTGGTGGCCAAGAAGGCCCATGGTCTCCTGGGGTGCATGAGGCAGAG